CTGGCTGCCTAGGTCCTCTGTCGCAGATTGCGCGAAGGCTCAGGACGGGCGTCCGCAAGGCGATGTTATCTGAGTCCTTACAACCCCACCACAGTTGTGTTTTCAATGCTTTTTCTCATCTGTACCGAAATGTTGTGAATATCGTATTTCAAACCATGCAGGATTAATGACCCCTTCGCTCCTGAAGACGATTTGAAGGATTTCTTTCAACGCCAAGGTATCAGCATTCTGGATGCAGGGGCTATCACATATCCTGTCGCAGCCCTCGACAACCAACTGGTGAGCACACAAAGCACACATTTGTTCTGGGATCGACTTCACTTTTATGCACCCGTATATGCAGGGCTGAACAAAGTACTTCTGAACTACCTTTGTCCGTCCTGAAGACACGCGAAAAGTACAGCGTTTGCGGCAACTTGCATAAATAAATAAAATCATCTAAAAGTAAAGAGCAAGTGGCACTGATTTGCCACGAGGCATATCACATGTTTCCTTCCGTGCTGTACTTCATATTTGTTCGGCTTTACGATCCGCCTTTCCCGCTGGAGAAATCCATGATCAAGTGTTCGAAACGTGGATATGACGGCGGGGGCAGGGGGAAAGGTTCCTTTCAGAAGTGCTCTGCATGATTCATATTCGGGTTGACCAGAATTTCTGGCCATCATTAGGAATGTCATATGTCCGTCGTGCTTGGACGCTCTGTCATTTTTGGGAAAAGGTGTCAGCGCTTGAAGCGAAAGCAGCAACAGACGGCGCCAACGTGATACTATGCCCTATGCATGTGAGCATTTTTTACGCGGCATGAGTTGCGTTCGACAACGGAACATTGACAATGTTGACAACATAAGAATGAAATGACTTTTATTGCCTTAAGACACTGTGTCGTCCTTGGCTCTCTTGGAAGGCGGCAATCAAGCATTCGCCACCAATGTTGCCACAGCAAATGCTACAGATGTGAAGATTCCTTTCACCGTACACAAAAAAAGTTGCTAGAGGGTTGATTTCTCTTCTCACAAAAGTTCGCTGGCAAACAGCAATGTAACAAGGGGAAAAAAAGCGGCGAAAACCTTCGACGGCGATGGCGAGCGGCAGCAAGCGGGGTCACCTCTACATTCGCCCCACACATCCGGGTCGCCTCATGTTGACATCCTCCGTCTTG